TGGCTTTTGCCTGTTCGGCGGGTGTCGCCCATGGTTTATAAAGCACTTTGCACTGTTTTCCTCCCACAATAGCTTTGTCCTCTCACTGAAGAGTGTTAATTAACCAATCACGCAGAACAAGATTGACTGTGAGGTAGGAAATCATGTTAGTCCCTTCGGGCCGGACCCGGCCTTTCTGCCCCCTGACCATAGTCAAATCCCATCCCGACTCAATCGATCTCATCCATTCTTCTTTTTTTGCAAAAGGAACCCCAGCCTCTAGTCCCTGAAACACGTTCAACACACCATGCCTACGCAAATAGTCGACGGTAGGGTCTATGTCGACTATAACAGTACTATTCAGGTCATCTCGGGTTGTAGCTATGTGATTATCCACTTTGTTTGGATCCTCCTGTCCTGTGATGAAACATTGGCGCACCATCTCGCACAACTGTTCGTGCTGTTCTTCCATTGCCCCCAAAATTTTAAAACCCGAACGGAAGCTGAAATTCAGCAATCCGAACAGAAGCCGATTGCTAGTCCGCCGCAACAAATGTGTCGAGGAATGATTAGCCCAGCAGTATTATCAACGGCAATTTTGACAATCGTGGACAAGGCCCATTCAGCTGGTGCGTGTGGTCGAGTGAGCAGAACAGAACTATCCACCGCAAAAGCTCTTTTACCCTAACAGCCGTTTTCGACAAAGTAATTAGCTGCGCGAACAGAGGCATACGTACAGCACAAAGGCTCTGAAAAAGGCATCCACCAGTAAAGCTCTTTTACCCTAACAATCGCTTTCGACAAAGTGATAAGCTGCGTGGGTAAAGGCAGCACATGCACCACAAAGGTTTTGGAAGAGGAGGCCCAACTTATGGCAACTATTCGATGACCGATTAACAGCAATGCCACAGCAAACACTTCACAGATGGCTCAACGGAAACCTAATCCACACTTCTCCCTCAATCTCAGAGGTCCCAATCCAATGTCAACATTCACACATGTCATTCAAACGATTATCCTATGTCGTTTGTACAATAAAACCTATGTCGTTTGTACAATAAAACCTAACCTTGACTTCTCGTCGACTCCGCTACTCTCATTCCTATCCCTCTCATTCCTATCACCAACACAGTCTTCACAACAAAATTTTCTTTCTCAAAACAACAGGAAGAGTAGAATAGATATGGGACGCTGGACCCGGTCTCCAGCACTCTGGCGTCACTCTCATTATGGTACTGTGTAGCAAGATGTAATTACGGGACGCTGGACCCGGTTTCCAGCAGGTGACGCTCCCCACCAATAGATGGAGCGGCCCCACTAAAAAAGAAAGGAAAAAAAAAAAAAGAAAAAAAGGGAACGATACAGAGAAGATTAGCATGGCCCCTGCGCTTTCAAGGATGACACGCATAAGACTGTAGCGGGGTTTGTTAAAGCCCTAAAGCCCTGAAGCCCTGTGGGCCGTGGCGCCATTAGCGGGAGTGTGAGACTCACTAGTGGCGGTGGGAACGTTTTCCCGCTTGCGAAGGGTAAAATAACTGCCAGATTCCACTCATATACTCTGTGGGTGCGAAAAAAAAAAAAAAAAAAAAAAGGAGGTCCAAATAAAAAAAAAAGAAAAAAAAAAAAGACAGAAAGGTTTGCACCTGAATCTGCATGGGCTCGCAGAGATGCAGAAAAGCAGATCAATCATCAATGACTATTTTCTTCCCCTGTCCATAAACACCCCCACATTCGGGCGTTAAATGCAATCCTCTTTGTATTCGCCAAGTGGAAGCTCGGCCCAGGACATGCGTCGAAGTTGGAACGAAACAGAGAACGGCGTCAGCCACACCACTCTCGAAATGTGAGAAAAAAGACAAAAATGTAGAGGGTGCATCTGGCCATGTTCTAGCAAGAAGTTCATTCTCGTTTTGCACATTTCCAGAGTCGTGTGGCGATGCCCAAACTCCTCACTGCGAGGTCAACTTCTGCGGCACACAAAAAAAGAGGGGTAACTTCAGTAGAGTCACAAAAACGAGTTATAACTGCACTAGGGGGCAAGATACAGTTTGCAATTGCACTCCGGGCACCGTACCTGGCCATAAAGCTGGGTTGTATTGAACAATATGTAAAGTTTTTTTTTTTTTTGTCCTTTCTTTTTTTTTTTTTACAATCATTCTCTCGGTCTTCGGCTGCAACAAATCCCCCTTCCAAACTCTTTTTTTTTTTTTTGTTTACTTCCAAACTTTGCGAAAGCCTCCCGATTTCCCGCGAGATATCGGTTTGAGACCGCGAGATATCGGTTTCAAAACCGATGGGCCTAGCTCAGTTGGTACCCACATCAACCATGAAAGCTGTCCTCACCCTGTCGTCAAACCGATATCTCGCAGGTTGATGTGGGCACCAACTGAGCTAGGCTGAGGACCGCGAGATATCGGTTTGACGACAGGCCCATCTCGCAGCCCGAGCTAGGTTTCAAAACCAATGGGCCTGTCGTCAAACCGATATCTCGCGGTCCGTGAAAGCTGTCCTCAGCCTCCCAATGGGCCAGGCTGCGAGATGGGCCTGTCGTACCCACACCAACTGAGCTAGGCTGAGGACCGCAAGATATCTCGCGGTCCGTGAAAGCTGTCCTCAGCCTCCCAAAGGGCCTAGCTGAGGACCGCGAGATACACACGTGAAAAATAAAAATAAAAATAATAAATAAATAAATACACACGTGGGTTTCCCCGTATGCCTATAGGCAGGAGTAGTGGTAGGTAGGTAGTGTGAGGAAAAAATTGAGAGAAGAGTATAGTTAAAAAAAAANAAAAAAAAAAAAAAAAAAAAAAAAAAAAAACCTGTTGAAATACAGACCTAACTTCGAAGTGCAATGACGGTGTCCACACCACTGAAGACACGAAAAAAGAACGAAAGCATCTTCCCAAGAAAGTGGTCAGATGCATACGTTGCTATTCGTAGTAACAAATGCATCCTTCCATTCTCTGCGGGAAGATGCACTCGTACTTTTTTCACTTTGACAGTGGTGTGGTGAGCCCGTGAAACTCCAATGGCTAAATAACTCTGAATAATAATATATATATATATATATCGTCAAATAGAACTGCCCGGTAAATATATATGATATATATATATATATATATATATATATATATACACGCTGAATTTACCTGGAGCGTGGTCCCACTAGCCACGAGGATCGGATTGAATGCCTGAATCTGGACGTGTTTGTGCACAGGTGCAGGAAATCGAGATTGAACTGCTTTTCTGCATCTTTGCCGAAAACATGTCCAGATTCAGGCATTCAATCCGAGATTCAGGCATTCAATCCGATGCTTGTTGCTAGTGGGACCTCTGCCCTGGGGTATGTCAGTTTGAAGATGATATCAGCTTCAAACTGACCAACTGTTAGACCAGATAAAGGGCATCCCTCCACGACCGTGTTCACCCCCGAATAGAACTCCCGGTCAGTAGAGCTGACCCGTATATGACCCACTATTCTGTCGAGATAGAAACTATAAGTACCGGGATGGGGTGAAAACAAACGGTTAAAAAGAAAAAAAGAAAAGAAAAAAAAAAGAAAGCGCTATGTCCTTCGGGACATCCCTTAAAATTGGAACGATACAGAGAGAGAGAAGATTAGCATGGCCCCTGCGCAAGTAAGGATGACACGCAAAAATCGAGAAATGGTCCAAATAATAATAACAAAAAAAAAAAAAACGCTATGGCTGCATATCTTTCCATGTTGTAGCCGAAAATTCATTCTCATTTTGCACAATTAATGAGTAGTGGAGCGAGGCCGAAATGCAGATGAGGTATTTTACTCATCTGGGGCGAGGTCCCACGAAGTGGATTGGATTGAACTCCTGAATCTGGACATGTTTGTGGAAAGGTGCAGAAAGGCGAGATTGAACTGCTTTTCTGCATCTCTGCTTAAGACGCGTCCAGATTCAGGAGCATCATCCAATCCTTTTTGCCAGTGGGACCTCGGCGCTGTTCCCCATTGGGACTCGCAGTCAGTCTATCGAAAACAAAAGCAATTCGAGAAAAAAAAAAGGGGAAAAGGCCAAGGGGGGGGTGGTGGAACAAAAGGAAAAGGAAAAAAGAAAGAGAAAACAATAAAAACTCAAGCGCTTCAACGGTGCCCGTTAATAAAAATAAGATATCCATCCACAGCACTTCAGACCGATTCTTATGAATAGCCTAGACGTTAGACCTTCGCCCGCTCAGTGCAAAGGGAGTGGGAAGCGGAGGAAGAGAGAGAAATCTTGAGCTGATTCAAGACAGAGCTTCTTGAGTATCCGTGCCTCTTTCTTTCTCCCTGCAATTCTCCCAGGTTCTTCCCTCATCTTCATTCCCTACGGTTTCTTGCATGTCTTCCGCCCCCAATCGTTGTCGCCATTGCCCAGCCTTCTCCGTCTCTCTGCTCCGTGGGCACGACTCCTCTCTCTCTCTCTCTCTCTCTCTCTCTCTCTCTCTCTCTCT